CCTGAAAACTCTGGCTTCACTTTTTTGAAAAATTAAATGGTCTTTCCATTTATTCTCGATCAACAATCAAATATCTTTACATGAATTATGAATAACACGAATGGATTGAAATATTTAATTAAATTATCTCAAAATAAACCTTCATTTCGGTGCAATATTGAAATTAGCTTGAATTCTTCATAACCTGTGAATAGTGGGTGACCCAACGAGTCACGGGTGGTCTAGTAACACTTAGTGTTACTCAATGTTCATGTGAGAAATGTTTTTACAAATTGAAGATTCTAAAAACTCGCTTAAGAGCATCAACAACACAACAAAACTTGGAGGCATTGATGCTTATTGCAGTCGAAAAAGACATTACTATCAACTTACGGAACAACAAAGATTGTATAATCGACAAATATGCGTCTACAACAAAGGAGCTAAGCTCTTTGCTCCTTGTAGAATTATTTTGTTTGTTTTGACATCAAGCAGTTCTTTTTACCTAATTTAATAATTAAATGTTTTTGTTTCTCTTTTGCATTTTCTTTTAAATTTTACGGGGGGCCCCATTTTTTGAAAGTGACTGCGTCCAAAAAAATTTGTCACTCCGCCACTGATACGGTCCTTCTCAGGGCTGGGATCTGTGGATCCGAAACTTAATGAAAATTTTGCTGTGGGGGTGGGGAGGTGGAGTACCCCGAGAAAACCCACTTTCTCGACTACAGCGCCGAATAAAATTACTCTGACTGTGCCCAGAAGAAGACAGGTTAATTCATATTCATGGATAGATACACTTGGCAATTTTAGTAACATTTAATGAGGGTTAAAAAAGGCTGGATGGTTGAAGCATCGATGTGAAGCTAGGTAGATACTGGTCTGAGTCGGGCTTACTTGCGTTGGAATGAATGAGACACAGGAATGACAACTTTCATATAGTGATATTTCGTGGGTCGGTAGAGGTTTCAGTCTATTGGGTGTCGGGAGGCTAACATTTCTTGGAAGATTGCGTTGATCTTCAGTTGGTCCTTAGTCTGGATGTGTCTGTCTTTCTTGGCAATTCGAGTCTGCATTTTTTAGCTGATTAGAATAGGGCTGTCCATGGAAGTGAAGGCGTCACACTTGGTGATTTAGGGTGTTGTGTTTCTTGTGAGATCTTCATGAGAATAGTTGTCTGTGTGTTCTTGTCAGTGGCATTGGATGTGGCTTTGTTGATGGCTGGTGGTTCTGTGTGAAGCTTCGGTGATTTATTGGTATGAGATGAGCAAGATGACTTGCTAGTAATGTTAGTAGAATGGGTTGGTTCGGCTCTGAAATGAAAAAGTAATAAGAACAACCATTAGAAAGAACATAGTTCGCAGTAAGTTTAGATGTTGTGATGAACTGGGTCCACATGGCCTGTTGTTCTGAAACGAATCTGGTGAACTGCATGTAGTTTTGTCTTGGTGGTTCCTTCTATGGTCTGTTGAATTTCTTCTGGTTTTATGGTAGAGTCGACGCCCCTAAGAAAAAACAGAAAAAAATATTAGTGGAACTCTTTGAAGTTGTGCAGGTTACATTAGGGTAACCATTTCACGGGTTACACAAGTATGAAAGGTCAGCTTGGGTTGAAGGTTGAAGAAAATTTCACCTCCCAACTTTAAAGTTACATTGTGTACAGGAAAACTTGTAAAGTTACATTGTGTACAGGAAAACTTGTAAGGTTACATTGTGTACAGGAAAACTTGTAAGGTTACATTGTGTACAGGAAAACATTACGTTTAGCACATTGATTGGCGTTATGTGCTTAGTGCTTTGACAAAGGATTTAGATAAACCGTCTAAATATCGGTACAAGGTAAAATGTCAACAATTTGGAATGGCTATGAAGGACCCGTACTTTGTCCTCCCCAGCAATGACCACAAGTTTAGCTGTCGCTTCATTAGTAATGTTAACAAACAGAGACACAGTTATGAACATTTCAGACATGGAATACACAGATATATTCAGCTATCTAGTTTTTTATTTTAGTGTCTCATATTGAAGGTATACAAAGTTTAGATGCCTATAAATACTCTAACAACAGCAGAAGTCACGCGATGCTGGGAGCATGCATGCTAGAGTTTCTCGAAGGATCATGAATTATCGAGGAACCCCGCGAATGTCCGAGTGTTTGCTAGACGCCCTCTTTTTTAGATATAAGCCTGGCGAGAAAACCAGCGGCATCGAAGAGATACATATACAGATAGATCGAAGAGATAGATT